AAGTGACGTGCATGATAAACTTAAGCCTTTTGGTATCACAATCTATGGTTTCATTGACGCTTGGTCGCGCAAAGTTCTCAGCCTACATGTAGCAACAAGCAACAATGATCCCCGTAGAATTGGATTGCAGTACTTAGAGCTTGTTCGAGACATAGGAGGATTCCCAGACAGGACATCAACTGACCATGGTAGTGAGACAGTTGAGATGGCTACTTTCCAAACCCTCATGCATCACTATTTCTGTGGTGAGCCACTCGATGAAGCACATAAGCATCATCTATTCATGACCTCACAGCACAATCAGAAGATAGAGTCATTGTGGTCTCAGTTGATGCGTGCTAAAAACACAGTGCTCAGGGATGAGATCAATGCAAAGATCCGTGAAGGGGTATACAATCCTTCCAATCCAGTTCAACAGTATGTTGTTTTTGTTTTTTGCTTTGCATTGACTGTAACTGACCAGATGCATTTCTAGGGCACTATTTCTTCATTTGTGGGTGCCTCTGGTTCAACGTGCAATGGACTCTTTTGTGAAGCGCAAAAACACATACCAAACACAAAAGAACCATGAGTCCCAACTTCCCACCGGTGTTTCGCCTGACACATGCTACTATTCTCCCGTCAACTACGGTGGTAGCCAGGGTTTGAATCATGTTTCAAGAGATTCAATTGACAACCTTATCGCCACCAAATACCCTGATTCAGAGGAGCTAAAGCAGGTGTCAGCTCCCATTTTTGGATGGCAGGTGTCAAAGTTGATATCAAGATTGGGTTATCATGAAGATTCCATCAATTCAGAAAATGTTTGGGTTGTATTCACCCGTGTTCTGGGATTACTCTCTCATCTTCAATTCAATCCATATGAGTAGTGATGTATCATCAGTGCTGTGTTGCTTATATGTGATGATGAAACAAATCGATGTTTCTGCTTGTTGGCTCAATTTTTTATTCCTAGCTTTTCAAAATATTTGGCAAAGTATATATGTATGAATATATATGTACTTAGTGGAAGATTGCTGCATACAAGGGTTAGGAAATTCCTTGTAGCCTTGAATATTATTGATCCTCACAAAGAAATGACTTTAAAAAGTGATTGATATTTTCAAAATGTCTAAAAAGATGTAATTACCAATTTATATACAGGCTGGGAATTGAAGAACATCAATTATGGTAGCAAAGAAATGACTTTCAAAAGTGATTGATATTTTCAAAATGTCTAAAAAGATGTAATTACCAATTTATATACAGGCTGGGAATTGAAGAACATCAATTGTGGTAGCAAAGAAATGACTTTCAAAAGTGATTGATATTTTCAAAATGTCTAAAAAGATGTAATTACCAATTTATATACAGGCTGGGAATTGAAGAACATCAATTATGGTAGCAAAGCAAGTAAATTCAGAGACAATATAACTCTGAGATTTGGCTTTGAACCATTATTTCCTCTTCCAAAATATCCAGTTTAATTGTATTGTATCTTCATCAATTATCAAAACTTTACAAAATCCAAAATCATCATCAAATTTAATGAATAATAATCATTATTGCCTAAATTTAAAGGGATTCATGAAATGAATTTTCAAGAAGAAATCAAATTAGGTCAAAAGATTTTTAATGAATTTCTTAATCTTCATTTGTCCTTTGATCTTGATCAATTGGTTTTTGGATTAAAAGAGATCTGGAAGATCAGTTTGAGTTTAAGTGAAGAAGGGTTTGTAAAATTGAGTGATGGTAAAGGTAAGATACAGATGTCTGGATGAATATTTATCAAAGATTGCAAATTCAGATATATATTCTTTTTTTTCAAAGGTGGAAATAAGAAATTTAAAGAATGTTTTATGGTACCAATAGATGGAATTAATGAAAACCAAATCCAAACCTCAATCAAATCAATCCAAAAACTAATCAAAATGTATCCAAATTTAACAGAAGCACTAAAGAGTGTAAAAGAATCCAGAATTCAAAAAGAATTCTGGATTCTTAAATATTCTTAGATTAATCAAAATCAATCCAATGATTAAAGAAGAATATCGAGGAAATGTAGTAATCAATGAAATTTATGGGGCGAGAGGTGATACCAGGTCGATCCGTCCGTTGGGCACTGCCAGGTCTGGCGGGAAGGGCTTGGTAAGATGAAGCATTAGAGCATTGACATGACACTTTGTCAACAGGATGCTGATTCTTGAAAGGGAATGGACTTGACAGAGTGTGAGTCGGTTCGAGTCTGATATATAATAGGAGTCACACAACTTGAAAGGTAAAATAGTCAGATTTTTTTTGACCATTGATTGCCTCGAGCCACAAGGTAGCTGCAACTTGACTTTGTAAATTGAACAATAAGGAATTTGACATTTGAGATCGAAATTGAAGATCGAGGTGTAGGAATGAGAACTGATGATTGTTGTCATTGTAATCAGGATTGAAGCTGAATTGGTCAGTCAAACAGTGAGTGAGTTAGAATGTTTAATCGCAACTGATTGGTTTAGGTTGGGATGTGATATTAGGTCGATTTTGGATAGCTCTGACAGATTCCTAGGTTAATTTCGATTTTCTTGGTTGGTGGAGGTGGTGATGTTAAGGTTGATTATCAGTTTGAGCAAATCAAGCTAGGATGATATTATTTAGAGGAATCTAAGTTTTATTCTGATCTGTTACGACTTGATCTGATGAATGTAGAAGCAATAGATGAAAGCAATAGTTGAATAAAGAAAGACCGAGAGCGCATGAAAAATATAAATGTGAACGAAATTGTGTTTGATTCTATTTGATTGACCCCGACTGAATTGAAAAGAGGACCCTGAGCTCCTCACAATTCAAGCTGTCGTTTAAACTTTTCCATATTGTCAAGTCCAAAATTTCTACACCATTGATTCTCCCGGTGTTGATCTATCATCAAGCGGAGGCCTTCATAATTCAAGTTGCCACTGCCAAAGGTTTTACTGTGGGTAAAGATATAAACCATGCGTCAAAATGGGGCACATTGAGACTCAGATAGATGAGTACACTCACTCAAGATCGTTAACTGCGGGGTCAGTCAGAGTTGCACCACCCCCCTGTAAGTCGCATACGAATGATCTGCCACCATTCTCTTGAAGGTCATGATGTGCAAGGGCGTGGATCATTTGGTATATGGGAGTACAACTGTGCTTGTTAATAAAGTTGTCATTTCCCATATACTTGACAAATTTGCCATCCAATTCTTCTTCAAAAAGCCAAAAGTCGGAGTCAGTGGCATCATCAACTTGGGCTTTGGTGCCTACCTTCTGCACAACCCAGCACTTGGCAATCTGTGTGATGAAAGTATCATATTAATCAAAAGTGAGTTAAGATGATAGATATAGATGAACAAAATAAAACCACACGTACTCTCAACTTTTTGGCCAACTCCTTGTCAAGAGCCGTGAATTTTGGGTAATACAAAACGTCAGCCTTGAAGGATTCAATGGCAGCCTCGGCATGTACATATGACTGTGCTTGACGCTGATACTGTTCTAAAGGACAGCGTTTGGAAATATGGTGTTTTGCTACAACACTATATACTTGATTGTCAATGAGTAACTTGGCCTTGAAGCACTTCATGTTGCGGCCAACTCCAATCAGAGACGTCATATCTACACGGTATGAGATGGGAACCGGGCTATACACTGCATCCTTATCCTGTGTAAGGAGTGAGAGAAGCCATCCTTCATTCCAACTCAAGGTTTGGCGAGGAGGGTATTGTAATGATGCAAACATCATTACAAGCATATTACATTTATTATTAACATACTCAACTTAGCTACTTAACATACGTACTTAACATTGTTCTTATCTTTTCACTCGAAGCTCCAATTGTACTGACTCCTTAGGGAATTGAGACTGATCTCATATTCTAATCCTTTGGAGTCAGGTGAGCACAGCTATTTCTATTTTCATTACTTTCAGTTATCATTCAGATTGTACTTCCTGAGGGAATTGAGACTGATCTCATATTCTAATCCTTTGGAGTCAGACAATAATAATATCAGTACTTGGGTTCTAGAAAAGATCAAGTCCACTACGTGGCATTCTGAGCCCTCATTCCCTCTTCGAGACCTTCACTTCAAGTGAGGACTAAGTGTCCTTTACAGGTATGGAAGAACATTCATTCCTCGGCAAGCAAGATCGTGTGTATTTCCAAACTGCATTGCTGTAGATGATACTGACACTCGATTAGTACGGTGAAAGTGAGACAGAAGTTGAATAGCCTCACATTGGTTTGATTCTAACCGAGCAGCAAGGCTGTTGGTGATTTGGAGGCCTACAAGGGTGTCACTTTGATTTTGGCTAGGTAGACTTTGGCTTACAGGATCTTGAGGTTTGGTCTGCTCAATACCTGGAAATCGAGCACAAGGATACAATTCAATGTGAAGTCAAAATTGATACAGATACAAGTTACTCTAGGGATACACTTACCCTTCACCTTGGATTGGGATTGGGCTGGTTCTAACCGGTGATCGGTCTTGTTTTCATTGTGATCAGTCTTGTCATTGTTCTCGACAGTTTTGGTTTGATTGTGATCAGGCTTGTTTTTTTCATGATCAAGCTTGGTTTCTTCGTGAAAGGTTTGGTTTTGATGATGAGCCTCATTTGTGGAGTCGTAGATCTTGTATTCAGTCGGGTTGGAGTTGACTTCAGAAAGGTTCATGATAATCAATTCAGTTGGGTATATGAGAACTCACATTGGATTTGAGCTCATCGGTTTCAATGTCCTCGATCTCCTCCTTGGTAAGACCAGAAGCGGTAATAGATTTTTCATTGGGGTGAGGTTTTGGGGGAGGCCCAAGCTTCACTTTAATCCTTTGTGTTGGAATTTTGATAGCAGGTTTGAGTTACTTGATTTGATGAGGGTTTTCATCGACCTTCTGTTTCTTCTTTTGTTTGACTACTACAACCTCTTTTTCTGAAGCATCAGATTCTTTGATGGAGGATTCATCATCTGATGAATCCAATCTCGATCTTTTGGTACTGTTCCTGGTGGTGGGTTGTTCAGTAATATCTTGTTTGTCTTCATTGGACTCGGGAAGGGGGGACTGAGGGATAGTGAGTTGGTACTTATCCCAACTGAATGAGATCCCCATGCATTTCAATGATGCAAGACCGCTTGGTTTCTTGAGAGCATATATGATCTGAATTTTGAGATCATCCTTTTCAATGAGGCAGCCATTGTCAACAGTCTGGCAGTAGCGGTCGTCCCAACAAGGTAAAGGGACTAGCTTATCCTTGCCAATTTGCTTGTCGTGCGGAGGCCAGTTGAGCTTGTCGGCTGTGTCACGAAACCATAGCCAAGCTTCAAGGTAAAGATTTATATACCAATGGGGATCATCTAGATTGACCTTACACATCTTTGGCTCGAGGGGATGTCGTGTTTTTCTCATACTCTTCAGGTAACAAAGCATCATCTTAATTTTCCCTTCACGTTTTGGCTTTTGCTTTTCTGAAGCCTGAGAAGGTTTTGGTGGTTGAAGGACAGCTTTGGTAATGGGAGGCTTTGGCCAATTGGTTCTATTCTTCGAGGTTAAGAGACGTGCGAGCTCTTCAGCTTGATTATTTGTTGAAAAGCTGGATGATTGGTGGACTGGTGCAGATAAAGATGTGGCCAAAGGGTTTTGGGAGAACAGGTGAGATGGAAGGTCATTGGGGTTTGCTGTAGTAGGAATGACAGTATGAATCAATGGCTGTCCATGATTTTGCTGATGCGGTATTGAAGATGCCGTGTTCTGAGAGTTTTGTGAAGCCAGTGCAAGAGGGTTGCTTGCACAGCTGCCACAATCATTTCCTTTGAGATATTTGAAAACTATGCCACATAATTGGCAGAAAGGTTGGTCACAGACAGATCCATTATGTTCTCGCCATTGACACCGGCGACAGTTTGGTTCGGTTGAGGGTCTTGGTGGGAAGTTACGTCCGCAGTCAGGACAAGGTGGTTGAGAAGCCATTGAGAAGATCAATAGCGGATAGTTCGCGAGAAGGATTTTGAGAGAACAGATTGAAGTTCAAATCCACCACAACCATGCGATTCAGGGATACAATGAGCTCACAAAAGGCGTATCATCATTGCATAAAAGGCCAGGGGGTTCTAAAGAACGCATCCCTGGCGTGAATCGAGGTGCAAACTATGTTTCTCTCAACTTACAAGCAATCTATAATGTACAACAGCATCCAAAGAGTCCACCGGGTGGGTCATGAGGTGGAGTGAAGAGCTACGTGTTGGTGATGGATGATGTGTTTGACGGAATCACACATCACAAAACACAAAACATAAAGCGCCAAACTACAGAAAGGGGTGGCGGTGATTTGGCCTCAGGGCCACCATATCCAAGGGAATCAAATGATCAAGAGGGGTCCAGTGGATCCATCATCCAACCACCTACATATACTACTATCCAAAACTTGAGCATGCGCTAAATGGCACAGAAGCTAATGTATTCGAAGCTTTTGAAACCACCAACCAGCATTGTTGGAAGAAACCGCCTAGGTTGCAAAAGATGGAAGAAGCCAGTTTGCTTTTCAAGGTACACTCACAGTCCATCTTGAAGCAGACTACATAATGAGAGTGACATATCTCCAAAACTGTGATGTCACTCGTATTGCCCAAGCACTGGGGGCTCTCTAAACCATACAATCTGAGAAAGAATATGTACCTGTGACCACCCTTCTCTTGAAGAACAACAGCCTTGACTTTTGACAGAATGCATTGAGGGGCATGTCATTACCAAACCCAGCATACTTACAAAGTCATCTGATCAATGCATGAAGGCAAGTCACTTTGCTCATAGCGCACAACCACATCAGTGATTGAAGGCAGGGCGGTTAATCAGAGTGAGCCGCTTTGGGATCAATTCTCGAGCTTACTTAGTCAACATCTTTAGAATCACTCGCACTTGGAGATACACATATCTCCAGGCGCACTAGGATGTTGAAGAAGTGAAGTATACACAACTTTGAACAGAGCCGAAGTAAAGGGCTTAGCTAAAGGAAGCACAGAAGGCGGTATTCTTGAAAAAGTCTGAGGTGAGGGGTGCAATTTAGCAGGAAAACTTCTCAGCTGACCAACTGTGCAAAGCTCACACTTATCATACATGTCAAAAAAGCGTCTCTTGAACAATAGATCAAAGGCTATGATCACTATCTTTGTTGAATAGGACAACAACATTAAATAAGGGATCTAATCTCAAAAGGTAATTACGGCGGAAGACCGTGACTTCACCAAGGACCTCAAAAGGATGAAAAAATGGCCCTTTGAAGACAAGGTCACGTTGATCATCATGATATAAAATAGAAAAATATGATACAATTATAAAAATATATATTCCATTTCCTAATCCTAATAACCATGATACACATCACACAACATATCTACCAAGTATTTCGCCACATAGAGGATCCAACAGATGATTCGCCACATTCAGAAGAGTAAGAGTTATTGTTTGCATGTGATTCATATACTACTTCATTCTTAATCTCAGGATTTTCTTCATTTCCAACCCAAAGTCATAAAGTGTCTCCAACATCTTGACCATCAGCCACCACAAATCCGCGATGCTTCAAACGTGGTTTGAGAATTGAAGTCAAAACTGTTTCAAAGCCTTCATCATCTGGTGAAGGAAATGTGAACAGAAATGGAAAAAATCAGAATAAATCATCTTACTGATTATTGAAACGATGGAAAGAAATTTCAGAATAAAAAAGTAAGCAAATGACATACCTTTGGCCAAGGCCTTCCCTTTGCCTTTAGACTCAACCATTTCTTCTTCCTCAGGCTCCTCCGGAATAGTGTAGAGTACTCTCTTGAGGGGCTTGAATGGGGGCAAGACAAAGTACTATGATGCAAAGTAGGAAAACATGGTGGAAAATGATGAACTCCAGGCAATCAAGAAGAAAGATAAACACGATTTAGAAACACTCACCAAGTCTATTAAAGCAAGTTCCGTGATGCAAACTCTCTTGATACCACCTTTGATGATTAGGTCGGGGTTTTGATGAGGAGATTGGACACTGCCGTTGGGGTTCATAACCAATGGTGGTCCAGAGTGGAGAGAAGGAGCTTGTGATTCAATACGAGAGGATTCGGGAGTCTTGAATGAATCAAAGTACCAAGAAGAAAGGGAAGAGGAAACGCAAAGTGGAGAGAGATAAGTCAGTGAGTGAATAGAAGATTGAAAATGATAAGTGGATACATCTACAATACTCACCATAGGAAGGAAGGCAGATCCTTTGGAGAAAGCATTTCTGATAGGGCTTCTGATGTGCAGGGGGCGCTCCAAAATTGGTGATGGTAGAGGGTCCTCAAGGTTGAACATCGCCAGTCTAGCTGGGGAGAGACCACCGAATTCCAACTCCAAAGAGCTTTGCTTGCTGCCTGAGGCATAGCTCTGGAGAAGCAAAAGAATAAGAGTGAGAAAGTGAAACTGGATAGGATGAAAGGCTGAAAGGGTTTGAGGAAGTGAATGAAAAGAAACAGAGACTCACTGCATCGGCATCATTGATATTGTTGGTGGAAACCTTTTTGATTCTACAATTCTTGAGATTGAGGGCAGGAGGCCGCATCGTGATAATGATCAATCAAAAGGTTGTAGATGGGAAGGTCTGAAGGGAGACGGAAGGAACGGAATTTGGAGTTGGGAATCGAAGTGGTGAGTTGTGGAAAGGTCTCTGAGTAAGAAATACAACCAATACGAGCTAAATGGTGACTGGGAGGATCAGCATCAGTATCAGCTTTGCCGCATTTCTTATGTCCATCCAGCATTAACAATAATGCAAGTACATTAATTTATCATTTGTACTCAAAATAATGAAATCAAAGCTGTGCAAAATGATTGTGATGCCTACTTTACCAATTTCCAGCATTAATTCATCAAAACAAAATGTTTGCCCTCAGGTTTCACCCTTACAATCCACTGAATGATCCCGAACATCCAACCCATAATTCCTATCCCTTGGATTGTTGAGCATCAAGGATTCATAGCTTCAATATATGCCTATTGAATGTTTGGTGAGCTTGGCTTTCAGCTCTTTATCTTGCCCACAATTCGGGTACTGATCCCTTCATCACCTAAAATACTTTGACCATATCTTTTTACATTCATTATAGTCAAAGTAAGAAAACAAAAGCAATCAAGAAATATTTGCTATATTGTCAAACACCAGAATCCTCTTCTTGACAGGGGCTACATGCCTCAAGTCTTGTATCCTGGTTTGATGATCCTGAAAGTTTGTCAATCAATCAAGACTTTGACCATGATTGATTAGCAGTCCAAAGATTTTAAACCCTTGGCTATCAAACATATTGTCGGCAGCTCCTTTGGCACGTCGTTTTCAGAAATTTGGTTGAACAAAGTCTTTGGTCTGGGGTCAAAAAGGTTTTCAAACAAATGTTAGATGAAAGCTTTTGCCCGTCTAAAATCTGTTTTGATGCTTTCAGAGACGTCTCACGCGTCATTTTGCAATCTTAAGACGCCCGAAATGACAATCTAGACTCTAGAGAGTCCCTCTCATATCAGTCAGCAATCTGGAACTGGTTATCCTTTTGATTACTCCAGATCCTCCTGACATCGAGTGGCTAGATGTCCTGTACTTTTGATATTAGTTACCTACAGTCTGTACAAATCTTCCTATGCCTCTGAGCCTCTTTCGAAGAGTGCAATGGTAGAAAGATATCTTTTTAGTGGCGTCTCCATAAAGGGATTGAGCGTGCAAGTCATGCTCGAGAGAGGGACTATTCTCCGTGCGACATCCGATCTCTAGGCCATGATGCGATCAACAGTTCGAGTTGATCAAGCCTAACTTGGGATGCCATCGCTTTGATCGCATTCAAGCAGGATGCGTGTGCTCGCTCCTTCCAATCCAAGCTCAAAGCATTGTTTCTATCCTTTGGTAGTGCGACTAAACGCATCATCCAACATGTATGCGACTAGAGCGCGAAATATACAATTCAGAAGAAAATCGTATGTAGAAGAGTCAAGTCGCCTGACGATCGGTCTCCGGGAAGCACAAATCCCGTTTTTGCCCTTGAGGCAGCGGGTGTGTTGCTCCAGCTATAGTCAGGTCAAACGCAAGCCAGATCGCTTTGGTATTGAGATATCATGCTTTGGATGCGGGTAATCGTTGGCTTTCTGGAAATTCGAAAGCGATTGGAAGTGCAATACGAAACATCCGTTGGACTCTGAGCCCTTTGCGCCACAAGATTGCACATCAACGTTGGGTTACAGAAGTTTTGCCTTGAAAAATGGTGAGATAGATATGTAGGTAGCATGAAAAGTGTGAGCTGATGAGAATTGTGCGATCACTACAAATGGGACAAATCGTTCTTCAAGGCTACCAAAGACTTGAATGTCAGTGTGGCTAATATTTGAGGGTATCGGGAGTTTATGCCTTTTTTGACTCGAAATTTACACCTCTTCCTGCATCCCGATTCCCAAGTTCCAACTAACAGTTGAATCATACTTCACATCATGAAAAATCTTTGAGTTTGGATTCTCTTTGATTCTTTGTGTTAGTTTGAAGACAAATCCTGGTGTAAAAGATAGCACACAATGACCTCAGGGACTCACCTTTCTACCAGAGATGGATAATCGGAGATTTGCTGTTGTATTGCAAAGAAATCAAGAAGCACAACTAATTGTCATTGAGTATCATGATGACCCAAAAAACAATCCTTCTGATATGGTTGAACTTGGAAAACTTCTACTGAAAAACCTGGAGTACAAGAAGGTGTCTTTCAAAAAGGCAGAGTACCAATTTTTCACAAAAGCAATACCACTCATGGAAACATTGTAGCAAAACACTCATCTAAAAATATTAGGCACTGGGCGACGTTTTGACGGACAAAGGATTTTGCCACCTGAATAAGTGCATGAATGCTATGGAAGATTTCCAAAATTATTTCAACGGGAGGTATCACACAGATTTTGCATATCCAAGTGTGCCGTTGTCTTGG